CCCTTGTCCACACCCAGGCTGAATCAGAGCTTCATAAGCCACAGTCTAACGTCTGCCAAGGATCTCTAGGGGAAGCTAGAAAGAGGCCATGGCATGGGTAGTAATCTCCAATGATGGTCATTATCAATTCTTTCCCTCCTGTGCACAAGCCACTCTCTTATCAAGAGGTAGAAGTCTTTCCTCAGTGACGTTGGTTTTTGGCTAGCCTATGACTGCTTTGACAATCGAATATGAAGGAAGGGATGGTTTAGGATTTCTTAGCCTAGATATTAAGAATACTTTGTAGCTTCTGCTCTTGCATTCTTGAAGTCTGGAAACATCTTATAAGTACAGGTTACCTCGCTGAAGACAGAGTGAGAAGTTCCGGGGGAAGCCCTGAGACCATATGAAGAAGAAAGACCCAGCCATCTCTCTATCCAAGTCAAGCCTCCAGAGAACTCTAGCCTCAAGAGTCATCTAACCATAGTCACAACAAAAGAAAATGCCCAGTTGGGTCCAAACCAACACAGAAGTGGGGGGAAAAAAGGTTATTGTTGGGTTTTTAATTTTTTTAATTTTGAAATAATTTTAGACTTACAGAAAGTTGCAAAATTAATATAGAGAGATCATATATCTTCTACACCCAGCTTTGCCTAATGTTAACAACTTACATAACCACAGTAACAATTATCAAAGCCAAGAAATTAATATTGGTACAACACTACTAACTAAACTATAGACCTTATTAAAATTCCAACAGTTTTTCTCCTCATGTCCTTTTTCTGTTCCAGTATTCAATACGAGATCCCACGTTGCATTTAGTTATTGTGTCTCTTAAGTCTCCTCCAAATATGACAGTTCCATGGTCTGTCTTTGTCTTTCAGGAGCTTGACATTTTTGATGACATGTGGCCATTTATTTTGTGGAATGTCTTTTCATTTTTGTTTGTTGATGTTTTCCCAAGATTAGATTAAGGTTATGTATTTTGGGCAAGACTACAACATAAGTAATGCTGTGTCCTTCTCAGTGCATCATAGCAGGGGGTACAGGACGTTAATATGTCTTTTTGCAGATTATGCTAACCTTGATCACTTGATTAAGGTGGTGTCTAATGGGTTTCTCCACAAACTCTACTGGGTTTCTTATTATTTTCTCCTTAATAATTGATAAATATCTTGGGATTTTGAGACTGCAACCATCCTGTTTCTCTTCCAACTTTTGTGCATTGATTTTGCCCACTCATCCTTTTGTGGATCTTGCCTGCAACAATTATTACTGTGGTTTTGGTCTAATAGTGATTTTATATTTCCGTCATCCCTCTACATTTATTAATTGGAATTCCTTGTAAGGAAAAGCTGTCCCTTCCCCCCCATTTATTCAATTATTTATGTAGCTCAGTATAGATATTTATTTTATTCTATGGGTTATAATCTAATATCATCATTATTTATTTTGTTCCTCAAACTTCCAGTTTTGGTCTTTAGGAACTCCTTCACATTGGCTTTTGTGTCCTTTTGTCTAGCCCCTCCTCCATCACAAGAAGTTCCAGGCTCATATGTATTTTTTCTGCCCCAGCCCTGGAATGTACCAGTTATCCAAGGAGCTTTGGTTCCTTCTATTGGAGAATGATATTCAAAAAACAAAATCTGTTACTAGGTGTGCATACTACTACAGAGGTGTCATTGCTTCCAGGCCCTGTCGGTAGACAGAGCTAAGAAGCTAAGATATATATGTATGTATACTAATACATGCATACACACACACACATCTATAGTTATTTCTATATCTAATATATCCATGTAGATATAGATAGGTAGATATATGTAGATATATGTAACTATAAGTTCATACTGATAACTCTGATTCCAATTCATTACAAAGTTCATTATAGCTTTCCCCTTTCCTTATTTGTAAATTTCTCTCTGACAGTGAGAAACCTGGATTTCATTATCTGTAATACATTTACTTATTTGTTCAATCCTGGTATACACATAAGGTAGCTACCCATACCCCTGAAAGAACCATACTTAACAGGATACAACATTTGTGTACTCTAGTCAAAATGCTGTTTTTGAGAGTTACTTAGATTAGCTCTTTTGGTTCCTATCCCCTTCAGTATGGTTATATTATTCATTTGTGATACAATTAGGTCCATTTGTTACAATTTGTATTCATGTTGGGTAACCCTGCCTACAACCCTGGTTGATTTCAATGATTTCTTTGGTTTGATATGTAACACATTACTACCATTCTAAGAGTCAAAGCTAAACAAAAACGGTATACTCTCCTTATCCTTACTACTCTGTTCTCATTCTCCTTTTTTCTACTCCACTTCTACCCATCCCCTGTAGGTAACTAATTTCTTCAGACTGTGATTTATCACTCACATATTTCTTTTGCACAAATGAACAGAACACAAATGTATTTTCTTATATCTCCTTTCTTACATGAAGGATAGCACCCAACAGATACTCTTTTGCATTTTTTTATTTTCTCAAAACGGTATATACTAGAAATCACTCTAAATAAGTTCATAGATATCTTCTTCATTATTTTTTCCAGCTGCCTAATACTCTACTGGGTGAATAGAGAATATGCCATAATTTGTTCAACCACTCACCCATAGGAGACATTTAGGTTATTTCCAATATTTTGCAACTACAGATAATTCTCCAGTAAATAGCCTCATCAATATGCATTTTCACGTTTTTGGAGGTGTATCATCATGATAGGTTCTTATAAGTGGAATTGCTGGGTCAAAAGATAAATGTGTAGTTTTGGTAGGTATTACCAAATTTCCTTTCAGAGAATTATATCAGTTTGAAGTCCTATCAGCAATGTATGAGAGTGACTGTTCCCCTTCAGCCTCACTGACAGAATTTGTCATTTAAAAAAGAAATTTTGGCACTCTAAAAAGTGAGAAGTGGTATTTTAGTGTTGTTTTAATTTACATTTCTCTAATTATGAGTGAATTTGAACATTTCTTCATATGTTCACCGTATGTTCATATGTTTGCTTTTTTTCTTTTTTTTTTAAAGTTTTATTTATTTTTTTTTAATTTTTATTTATTTATTTATTTTTTTGTGAGGAAGATCAGCTCTGAGCTAACACCCATGCTAATCCTCCTCTTTTTGCTGAGGAAGACCGACTCTGAGCTAACATCTATTGCCAATC